AGAGCTGGGTGGTGGTGTTGACAGGCCAGCTCGTGCAACATGTAATCCCGTGGGGCTCGTGCAACATGTAATCCCGTGGGGCTCGTGCAACATGTAATCCCGTGGGGCTCGAGCAACATGTAATCCCGTGGGGCTCGTGCAACATGTAATCCCGTGGGGCTCGTGCAACATGTAATCCCGTGGGGCTCGTGCAACATGTAATCCCGTGGGGCTCGTGCAACATGTAATCCCGTGGGGCTCGTGCAACGTGTAATCCCGTGGGGCTCGTGCAACATGTAATCCCGTGGGGCTCGTGCAACGTGTAATCCCGTGGGGCTCGTGCAACGTGTAATCCCGTGGGGCTCGTGCAACGTGTAATCCCGTGGGGCTCGTGCAACGTGTAATCCCGTGGGGCTCGTGCAACGTGTAATCCCGTGGGGCTCGTGCAACGTGTAATCCCGTGGGGCTCGTGCAATGTGTAATCCCGTGGGGCTCGTGCAACATGTAATCCCGTGGGGCTCGTGCAATGTGTAATCCCGTGGGGCTCGTGCAACTTGTAATCCCGTGGGACTCGCAACATGTAATCCCGTGAGTCTCGGAACATATAATCTCGTGGGTTTCTTGCAACGTGTAATCCCTAGAGGGGTCTCTTGCAACATGTAATCCCTAGAGGGGTCTCTTGCAACATGCAATCCCTAGAGGGGTCTCTTGCAACATGTAATACCTAGAGGGGTCTCTTGCAACATGTAATCCCTAGAGGGGTCTCTTGCAACATGTAATCCCTAGAGGGGTCTCTTGCAACATGTAATCCCTAGAGGGGTCTCTTGCAACATGTAATCCCTAGAGGGGTCTCTTGTAACATGTAATCCCTAGAGGGGTCTCTTGCAACATGTAATCCCTAGAGGGGTTTCTTGCAACATGTAATCCCTAGAGGGGTTTCTTGCAACATGTAATCCCTAGAGGGGTCTCTTGCAACATGTAATCCCTAGAGGGGTCTCTTGCAACATGTAATCCCTAGAGGGGTCTCTTGCAACATGTAATCCCTAGAGGGGTCTCTTGCAACATGTAATCCCTAGAGGGGTCTCTTGCAACATGTAATCCCTAGAGGGGTCTCTTGCAACATGTAATCCCTAGAGGGGTCTCTTGCAACATGTAATCCCTAGAGGGGTCTCTTGCAACATGTAATCCCTAGAGGGGTCTCTTGTAACATGTAATCCCTAGAGGGGTCTCTTGCAACATGTAATCCCTAGAGGGGTCTCTTGCAACATGTAATCCCTAGAGGGGTTTCTTGCAACATGTAATCCCTAGAGGGGTTTCTTGCAGCATGTAATCCCTAGAGGGGTCTCTTGCAACATGTAATCCCTAGAGGGGTCTCTTGCAACATGTAATCCCTAGAGGGGTCTCGTGCAACATGTAATCCCTAGAGGGGTCTCTTGCAACATGTAATCCCTAGAGGGGTCTCTTGCAACATGTAATCCCTAGAGGGGTCTCTTGCAACATGTAATCCCTAGAGGGGTCTCTTGCAACATGTAATCCCTAGAGGGGTCTCTTGCAACATGTAATCCCTAGAGGGGTCTCTTGCAACATGTAATCCCTAGAGGGGTCTCTTGCAACATGTAATCATTTAGGGTTCGTGTAACGTGCAATAAAAAAGTGCCACCTGTTTATAAAGGCTGACTGGCACTAGAAGTCCAGTATTTACCTTCTGTCTACCGGTTTATCTGTTGTTTTTGGGAATCAATGCCAACACGGCCCAGTCACTGACCAGAGCTCCTGGTTGGTGGTCACTAGGCTGCTGAACACAGCTGCTAGCAGACCAATATGAATTATAGCCCTATTGATCGGGTACCCTTTGGAGGTGTTTTACCAAGTTTTCTTTTAAACATGGTGAGAGGTCGGATAGTTATGTCCCTAAAGTTTACGAGTTTTGAAAAATTATGACCCTTGATGTCGACAGAATTATTTCTGAGCGTGCCTATTAAACCTCTGTTTTTTTCAAATGGGCTATTTTGCAATTCTTCCCCCATGCCGCCTGGTAACACGTGGTGTTATTTTCGTGAGAAAATTTGAAACTAGTCCTTTTAATATTTTGCAATTGTTAATTATCTATCTTGCATGTACTCTAAACGTAAGGTAATTATCAGGAGAAAGTGCTAAGTCTGTACGACTATATAGCGCCTGGAAGGGATACGAGGTCACGTGTCCCTAGAGATCACTAGAGTCGTAGAAAGTACCATCGTTGGTCTGCCATTTAATAATAATAATTTATTTGCAAGAAGGTACAATGTGTTGATGAGATTACATTTGGTTTGAAAGGCTTTTATTATCCAGCCTGATATTTTTAATTCAGTTGAACGTTGTAAGATACACAAGAACGGGCGTTACTAGGCCATGAAGCACTGATAGTTGCAGGGAGTAGTTGGTATTTGCATTTATTAGACATATTAAACTATGTACTATGAAAAGAAAAACAGCTTATGGAATTGTCTGATATGAAAAATGTGTTGCATTAAGACACGAAGGTTGTGATGGTTGAACCAGATTATCTCAAGTCGATTATCACAATCGACTTGAGAATGGTCCAGGACGGACCGAAACGTCGTCGTCCCTTCACCTTCTAGTGTGTGGTCTGGTCAACAGATTATCTCGAGGTAAACCTGGTCCCAAGCCGGGCTTTGTGAGAGTATACCTCCCACAGCCCACTCCAGGTATACTCCAGACTCAGTATTAAGAGCATTGGCCCTACTATTAGGAAGGCATTTTTGTCTCATGGGTCAACTGGTCATTAACACCAGTTACTTTCCAGACCTTTGAGTTGGTGGAAACTGGAGGCCCTACTGGGCGAGTTTATTCCTAGTGTTACCTAATCCATTGCTTTCGCTTCGCCACGCTATATCTTTCCCCAAGTGCCAGAGTCAATTCCAGTCGCCCCATTCCAAATCCCATTCGGGTTTCCCACCATTAAGGGTTAGAAATGGAAACTGTTGGTGAGTGTTGTGGTGTTCGGGTGAGCGCTCGTCTGGTCGCATTACGGGCGGGATGACACTGTCAGTCCTCACAGAATAAAAGTATAAACATTTTAATTGCTTGTCTTAATGGATTATGACCCACTAAATGAATGGCTGGCCTCGTTCATCATTTTTTATTTTAACAGTGATGAGTCCTTCATTCTCTTGTACAAACGGGAGAGTTGTGATGAATGTTGGACAACACACACGCACACGCGCACACACACACACACACACACACACGCGCGCACACACACACACACACACACACACACACACACACACACACACACACACACACACACACACACACACACACACACACACACACGCGCGCGCACACACACACACACACACACACACATACACACACACACACACACAGAGCCCGATAGGCTCAGGAATCTGTACACCTGTTGATTGACGGTTGAGAGGCGGGACCATAGAGCCAGAGCTCAACCCCCGCAAACACAACTAGGTGAGTACAACTAGGTGAGTACACACACACACACACACACACACACACACACACACACACACACACACACACACACACACACACACACACACACATACACACACACACACACACACACACACACACACACACGTGCGCGCGTGTATACAAAGTCATATATAAAACTCGAGGTAAAAGATCGAGTTTTTTTATTTGGGATTTGGGATGGATTTTGTTATGATAGATTTCACCAAAATGTCTTTTATAATAAAAATAATAAAACTGTTACAAAGCTGTAAGGGAGTTTTCAGCGCTAGAACTGTACCCGCTTAGTACATGGTAATTTATACTACGGTTAAAACTGCAGTCCGTCCTCTCGACTTACCACAACGGACAGAAAACGGTGTAATAAAACTCCTGAACCTAACCAAACCTAAAAGAACGACCCACGCATAGAAAACGTGTTTGTTTGTGAGCTGTTGTGATTTATAGAACATCATATTTTGTCCGATGGGGATTTTGACGTCAAAATGCGATATTCGAGATTGAAGGTTGAAAATTGAATAACATTCGATGTCCTTCATGTATATTCGCACCTAAATTGGGATCGTCTCAAAGCTCTCCAAATGTACTCATCAGAAAGGAGACGAGAGATACCAAATAATATGCACATGGAAAATACTGGAGGGCCAAGTCCCAAATCTACACAGTAAAATATCAACGTACTGGAGTGAACGACATGGCAGAAAATGTAGAATACAACCAGTAAAGAGCAGAGGTGACATAGGCACAATCAGAGAACACTGTATAAACATCAGAGGTCCGCGGTTGTTCAACATCCTCCCAGCGAGCATAAGAAATATTGTGGGAACAACCGTGGAACAATTTCTCTTCAAAAGAAAATTAGATTTTTTCTAATAGAAGTGCAGGACCAACCGGGCTGTGGTGGGTATGTGGGCCTGCGGGCCGCTCCAAGCAACAGCCTGGTGGACCAAGCTCTCACAAGTCAAGCCTGGCCTTGGGCCGGGCTTGGGGAGTAGAAGAACTCCCAGAACCCCATCAACCAGGTATCAGTCAGGCTGTTGGTGCTAGCAGTCAAATCGGAAAAGGTGATGCACCCCGGCTGATTAAAGATGTTTTAACTTGTAAATTTTTCTCTTGACAGCTATTGATGTGTTGGTAATTGGCTCACATTTGATGGTGGGGTAGGGGAAAACCTATTACGAACCATATCATTAAAACTAATTTGCACGGATGATCACATAAAATATTCAACGAATATCTCTAGACTCCTGGGGACAATGACTGCAGGTAATAGGCAAGATAAATATCATAATTAATACATTGAAAATGTTGTAAAACGTTTGCGTATCTGAACGTTAAAACTATTTCTCCGGGCACGTTAGTGTGCGCGCTACAGTGAGAACATGGTTTCAATAAGTACTGTGCACTCACAACACACTGTATCCACCATACACCCTGGCAACACTATGTCTAATCCGTGTCCTCCCACGCCATCTATTACTGACGCTTGCATTTCTTCTTCTCACCTACAGGAAGTGCGGGAGCTTTTATCTGGGTACCTGGTCCACAGCGTGCAGCTACAGCAGTCGAATGGGTCAGCGCGGGTGCTGCTAGCCGAGCCGGAGGTCTTGGAGACGTGGGCCAGGTCAACCCATCACACACTTCGGGGTCACAAGGTCACCATCTCTCCTTCCAACACGGAGGGGCTACTGTGTTTGGCCAGGCTGCCCGTCGACTGCACGGAAGAGGAGTTCGGTGGACTCGTGAGCTCCCTCGGCGAAGTATCCTATTGCTTCCTCATGCGCTCAGAGAAGACAGGTGAGATGTCGTGTGGTTGGTGTGTGTGTGTGTGGTTTGTGTGTGTGTGTGTGTGTGTGTGGTGTGTGTGTGTGTGTGTGGTGTGTGTGTGTGTGTGTGTGTGGTGTGTGTGTGTGTGTGGTGTGTGTGTGTGTGTGTGTGTGTGTGTGTGTGTGTGTGTGTGTGTGTGTGTGTGTGTGTGTGTGATGGGTGGGATGTGAATTTATTTATCAGTGTTTACCTATCAGTGATTATGGGAAAGTGTTGTCTAGATTTTTATGTTTTACCTGCTTGTCTTAATGTACCTGTTGCGTAATAATTTAACTGTTCTCACTGTCTGAATTCTTTGTCGAGTCTGACCACAAAGTTGTGGATGAAGATGGCTTCTGCGACTTCTTCTTTCAGGGTGTTCCACTTATGGCAGGGTATACCTGGACCATACCTGGAGAGGGTTTCGAGAGTTCTTCTACTCCGAGGTCGGGAACTTCCTTATATTTCTTCGACACATTTGCGTTTCCAGTTTATGCTCTCGCGTTCTACTTTCTCTTACAGTAAAGAGGCTGTTCCTTTCCACATTTTTAATTCCCCTTCAGTATCTTCTATGTTGTGATAATGTCCCCTCATACTTCAGCCCTGTTAACCCTGACCTTAATAGTGTGGTGTGGTGTAGTGTGTGACGTTTTTGTTTTGAATATATTTTCACTCGGTCGTAAATATTGTCCCTGAAAACAAATCCTGACATGACACCATTAGCGTTGCTCTCTCAGTTCCATCAACTTCCCTCTACCCCTCACCCCCTTTTCACTGCCCGTCTCCCCATCTGTCCTAGCGTCACCCGCTCCCTCACCCATTAGGCCGTCCCCCTGCCTCCCTATACTATCAACACCATCACCACGTCATTAATTCTCCGGGTGCTGGGGTGTCCGGGACAAGTTTGAGGACTCCATTAAGATAAGGCCAAGGCGACTCACCTCCTCGTACTGATGGGCGAGCAGATACCACCTGTGCCAGGAAAGCAGGCAGCCAGACAGGGAGCTCAGCCAACCTCAGCGCTCCCTGTCTGCTCCCCGAGGCCAGGCTCAGCCTAAGCCTGGCCGGGCTTGGGGGAGTAGAAGAGCTCCCAGAACCCCATCAAGCAGGTAACCAGACATTCAGCCCAGTAAGAATCTAGGAAATCGTGAGAGCCCCGTCAACCACACAGTCTGTACAACCATTCAGCCAGCAAGACGATCAACAAATCAGAAATCCATGGAAGATTCTCGAAGGTCCCAAATATATACACTACAGTAACTTAATAAAGGGAAAGATGTGGTAGGAATTGCTGAAAAGACCCGGTGAAGAGTAGACATATCATAGGCCCAATCAGAGAACACTGTGTTGAATATCAGAGGCTCACGGCTCTTCAACCTTTCACCATATATTAAAAAAAAAAAAAACTGTCGCAACAAAAGGGAATGTTTTCAAAAGGCATTTAAAGAAATGTCTGCATGAAGTACCGAACCAGTCAGGTTGTAATGGACATGAGGGCCTGCGAGCTGCTTAAGCAACAGCCTGACCCATCAAGTTATCGCTAGACAAGCCTGGTCCAAGGATAGGCTTCGAGAATAGAAGAATTCTCGAAACCAACTACAGGTAACTACAAGAATAGATGTAAGATATTGATAAATATTGCTACATAAATCGGTTAATACGTTTTCTCCGTCCCTTATTCCTCCTCAAGCTCAAAATTATTGTTGACCAAACCACACACTAGAAAGTGAAGGGACGACGACGTTTCGGTCCGTCCTAGAGCATTCTCAAGTCGATTGTGAGAATGGTCCAGGACGGACCAAAACGTCGTCGTCCCTTCACTTTCTAGTGTGTGGTTTGGTCAACATATTTCAGCCACATTATTGTGACTCCTCGTCTGCTCAAAATGATTCTCTGGCACACATTTCTCTGGCGTGTAACTACTTGCCCTCGGGGGCAATGCCATCCTCCACTCTTTGTAACAAAGTTATATCTAGACCGGGTGTGTATGTCTTCTCCTCATAACTCAGCCATCTAGCGACATTAACTGAGGATATTGAGTCAACATCCTTCCCCCCCCCCACACCCTCTGGCTGGTGTGGGGTTGTCCATAATGTAATCATTCATGAGCTAACTGGCCATGTGTATTGTTCCTCTACAATGTCTTGTGAGTGTTGAGCCGCAGCTCCTTGGCCCCGCCTTCGTCGTCAATATTCTGGTATAGTGCCTCGTACTTTTATATCAATATTTGATATCATGTATGGAGGGAGGCTTTCACATTCAACTTACTCCTGCTCTCACTCACTCACACACACACACACACACACACACACACACACACACACACACACACACACACACACACACACACACACACACACAGTTATAACGCTATGAATAATGTATGACTGAGGAAAAGGGTCATTGCTTTATACAACCGGCGGCTAGAAAGGCGGGATCCAAGAGCCAACGCTCGATCCTTCAGACACAAATAGGTGAGTACAAGGGGACACAGGTGGAAGCTGGGTACCTAAATGAGCCGCAGATATATTAGAAATAACTTTTTCAGTGTCAGAGTAGTTAATAAATGAAAAGCATTAGGAAGTGATGTGGAGGTTGACTCCATACACACTTTCAAACATAGATATGATAGAGCTCAGGAACCTGTACACCAGTAGATTGACAGTTGAGAGACGGGACCAAAGAGCTGCAGCTCAACCCCCGCATGTAAGACTAGGTGAGTACACACACACTTTTCCCTGTTACCAAGGAGTAAATAGGTACCTGGGAGTTAGACAGCTGTTACGGGCTGCTTCATGTGTGTGTGTGTGGGGGGGGGGGGGGGGGGCAAAAAAAAAAAAAAAAAAAAAAAAAGGTGATCGTTGATTGACAGTTGAGAGGTGAGCCTAAAGAGCAGAGCTCAACCCCCGCAAGCACAACTAGGTGAATACAACTGGGTGAATACACACAAACACACCTGTACATCAGTTGATTGACGGTTGAGAGGCGGGACCAAAGAACCAGAGCTTAACCCCCGCAAGCGCAACTAGGTGATTACACACACAAAGGCCTCGTGGCTGAGTCAACAGCGCTCGAGTGTCGTAGTCCTAAGGGGCCGGGTTCAACTCCCGGCCGAGGCAGAAATAAACGGGCAGAGTTTCTTTCGCCTGATGCGTTTGTTCACTCTAGCAGTAAATAGATAGCTGGGAGCTACGACTACTTCCTGGGGATATATGTGTGTGTGTGTGTGTGTGAGAGAGAGAGAGAGAGAGAGAGAGAGAGAGAGAGAGAGAGAGAGAGAGAGAGAGAGAGAGAGAGAGAGAGAGAGAGAGTGAGTGAGTGAGTGAGTGAGTGAGTGAGTGAGAGAGAGAGAGAGAGAGAGAGAGAGAGAGAGAGAGAGAGAGAGAGAGAGAGAGAGAGAGAGAGAGAGAGAGAGAGAGAGAGAGAGAGAGAATGAATTATATGTAGCAGACATAGAGGAAAAAATAAATCGGTAAGAAAGGCGGGGTCCAAGAGCTAATACCTCGAGTACACACACAAAAGTTCTCTTTTTATTCATTAGTTAATTTTAACACTCATTTGCCACTGCTGGGAAATTCGTTGTTCTCTCTCGTGCTTAACATTCTGTCCTTTTCCGCTTAGTCAATATCACTGAGGTATCGTGAATATTGATCAGATTCTTTGTTTCTTTTTTATATTATTTTTGTAGCGACATGAGGTTGAGTTCCTTCAACCATATCCCAGCTTTCTCTGGCCTGGGACCGACTTTGTGGCAAACCTTTATAGATGTATATTATACAAATTGTGTAACGGACATTATTAGGAACTGATTCCTAGTTCCTAATCTTTAAAAAAAGATTAGGAAAAGTTCCTAAAAAGTTCTTAATCTTTTTAAGTCTAGCACTTCTCAAAAGTGCAGGCAAGAGAGATACATAATAATTTACAAACGGAAAATATTAGAGGGACTGGTTCCGAATCTGCACACGGAAATAACATCACATGAAACTAGTGCATGGCAGGATGTGCAAAATAATCTAATTGAAATGTCGAGGTGCAATAGGTATGCTGAGAGAAAACTATCAACACCAAGAGCCTAAGACCTTTCAACACTCTCCCTCTACGAATAAGATGCATAACTGGCCGACCTCAAACGGTGTTTAAGAGAGAACTCATAAACACTTCCAAACCTGATCACATGCTGTGAGTTATACGTCAGGCTGCGAGCAGCCGTGTCCCAGTTTGTGCATCAAAATAACATAAAAGAGCGAAAGATAGGAAGTGCAGAATAAAACCAGTGAGGAACATCAGAGGTCCATGGCTGTTCAACACCCTCTCAGCAAACATTAGAAATATTGCCACAAAAGTTGATGTCTTTAAGAACCATTTAGATAAGTTCTCGCAAGAAGTTCCGGACCAACCAGGTTGTAGTGGATGTGGGCTTGCGGGCCACTTCAAGCAACAGCCTGTTGGACCAAATTATTACAAGTCAAGCCTGGTCCCAGTTCGGACTTGGGGAAAGAAGAACTCTTGGGACTATCTCCAGGTAACAGCCTGGTTGAGCAGACGACCAGCCAGGAGGTCTAGTCAGAGACTAGTCAGAGACCAGGCACAGACGAGGCCCACGGGAATGTTGATTCTCGGAAGCACCACATGGTAGGTAGGTAATATCATAAGATGTTCGATGATTCAATTAACTACTTGTTTAGTTAAATGAACTTTAGGGTTCAGTTCCTGAACCCATTATGTGCCTTAGTAACGCCTTCTACCACCGTCCATGGGATGGGTATGGGGTGCATAATAAATGACTAAACTGACTAAACTCTCGAATTTCTTGTTATTTGTTCAAGACAAGGGTTCCAGACTACTGATTACTGGCCTTCTGTGTGTCCCACCCTTCTCTCTCTCGTCTGATTTCCTATAATCGGTCATGGAAATCGACTTAAATTGTTCACTCAAGAATTAACAAAAAAAAACTGTGCTGTGTGGAGGTTTACATAGTCTCTTCTCTCTAGAAATGCTACTAGACTCTTCACGATCTTTCCCATCACCTCACATGGTATGCAAGTAAGGAACACTGGCCTAGTTGAGTGGCTCCTGTATGTCTCATGTATATTGGTTCTGTAGTGGCTGCCTTCCAACTTTACAATAACATTATACACTATCGAAAGCAGCAGGCACCGTGCTTCTGCACCATCTTTTTGTAGTCGTGGTGAGATTATGCTTGCTTCAACAGCCTTTGTCGTGCAGTGTTGTAGCAGATGTCTCTGTACCTCATCTTTTGTGATCTCAGATTAAATTTTTTGTACTTGTGCTTGCACAAGTACAAAAGTACAAAAGTAAAAGTATAAAAGTACACAAGTGCAAGTACTTCTTGCACTTGTACTTGCACAATCTCAAGATAACCTCAAGATTGTGTTGATTTGACAAACTAAATTAACCTATCCTAACCTCCCTAGGCCTAATACACGATATCCGAGGCCTAATATAGTTCATATGTGTGCTATATTAGGCCTAGGAATATTTGTTTGTTTTTTTGTTTGAATATTTGTGCTTCATTTATATGAAAAGAATTCTTTACTAGTCAGTATATTTATGTCTAAAAACTAAGAACGTACGAATTCTGATTATTAACGATCGTTAACTAGGAACTAAATAGGAACTGTATAACCAGGAGGATAAATTGTCTAACATACACTCTCACACACACACACACACACACACTCCCAGGAAGCAGCCCCCACAGCAGCTGTCTAACTCCAAAATACATCAGGGTGAAATAAATAAAGGGGCATCAGGTGAATGAAACTGTCCATTTGTTTCTGCCTCGTCCGGGAATTGAGCTCGGGTCCTTAGGACGATGGTGAGAACATTAGTTTTACTTTATTCTGCTATTAAAGAACTTTTTTTACTTCGTTTAAGATGAACAAGAGAGAGAGAACGATGTAGCACTCTCAAGCGGGTGTTGACTATTATCGTTAGAATTAAAGAAGCATCACGCGTTATCGATCTTTTATGGTTCAGAAAAAACACTTAGAAAAATGAAAAGTAATAATGGAGACTTTCCTGTCTTTGTATGAAACAATGACCTAATATGAGACTATTATTAGGCTCATATTAGGTCATCGCTGTTGCTGTCACTTCACCTGTCTCTGTGTTCCCCTTGTCTCTTATAGCTGTTTCTCCACTTCCTTGCTATCTTTTTTTTACGCTGTTCTTTCTTGTTCTTCCCCCCTTTTTCCCCTTCTTCCCTTTTCACCCCTTTCTCACCTATCGTTTCCCTCTATAGTTTTCATCCTTTTCTTCCCCCCCCCCTACCCCTTTTATGTGTGTGTCTCCTCCCCTCTCCTCTCTGTCTTGTGTCTCGTTGGTAAAACTGTTATGCAGTATAACTTCGTATTTCCTGAGCTCTACTGGCCATTTTGAATATGCAAATATATGCCACGGGGTTTAGTGAGTTATGAAAGTCCCGGGCAACATTGTAAGAGAGCCAGACGCTCCCTCCCTCTGGCCTTCTGGCTCACCCGTGACGACAGTTCAGTCTATACCCTTCATTGTTTCTCTTGTGATGTTGAAAAAGCACTAGCGTTCGTCTTTGTTTCTTGAGAGAACTATTTTGGTAATTGGGTATCCCAGTAGGGATCCATTTGTTTTCGCTCGTTTCCAGACGATAAGTTGAGAAAGCTGGAGCGGATAATTTTTTTCAGACTTGAAAAACGATTGGGGCGATATTGGGCCCTCCGTCCCCCCCGCCCCCCACTCCTTTCGGTGCCCCGGGGGGAACTAATCCTATCTGACGTTGGGGATTGCTCGTCGCTTTGTGCTAAAGTTGTTGGGCTGGAAAGTCTTTCTTTAGATGGATTTTTCTGTAATATATTTCGTTACATTTTAGGTGATACCTTGAGCACATGGAATAGGAAAGAATGATTTTATTTTTAATTGCAATTCTTGACCTCTTTATTAATATTATTATAATATTACTGTTATTACACTTAATGATTGAAGTAATAATAGTAGCAGCCTAATGTGGTAGTAATAGCAGCAGGCGATGAGTCACAATAACGTGGCTGAAGTATGTTGACCAGACCACACACTAGAAGGTGAAGGGACGACAATCGACTTGAGAATGGTCCAGGACAAACCGATACCTCGTCGTCCCTTCACCTTCTAGTGTGTGGTCTGGTCAACAATAGCAGCAGCAATAACATTACAAATATTATTCCTGTAATCACCTTTATGATCACTAACATTGCATTAAAATCATGTGTACCGGTGTGCAGGAGAGAGCAAAGGCTATGGCTTCATCGAATACGTAACAAAGGAAGTGGCACTTCAGGCGAAATCGGTGCTAGATGGGCGGGAGCTCCGGGACACCGTGCTGGTCTGCGACTGGCTGGACCCCAGTCACGTCACCTTCGCCTCCCTCCACTCCGCCTGCCTCTACGTCGACCACCTTCCCAAGGACTACAGGGACATGGGCGAATTCAGGAGAGTCTTCAGTAAGGTCACCAATCCACCATATTGCCAGGTTAGTAGGCGTTCAAAGCCGCAAGGAAGATATGTTCATTGAGGAGGAAAGTGTCTTCAGTTATGGTGGTATGCCTTCCACGGACTTTTAAGACGGGAACGGTCTCTAGTGTTATGAGAGAGTTGTAATTATTGACTAGCAAGTATTCATCTAATGTTTTCTAGCAGTAGTTAACGTATTGCGGATTTCCTCCCTCTTTATCGTCTTTGAAGTCTAATTTTACTACTGTACTTGATGAGGTTAAATTTGCTTGAACTCACTTTTGGAAGAGTGGAATTCAACTGATGTGTTTGCCGTCCGCCCCCACAGATCGCAATGCGTAACGGGGCGCTGCAGGACTGGGGGCTGGTTGAGTTCATCGACGCCGAAGACGCCGAAGAAACCCAGGCCACACTCAACAACTACAAGCTTCGTGGCCACAGCATCCGCGTCCAGTACTGTATTCCAGGGGTCAGGGCCATCAACATCTACATGAAGATCCTCAACGACCCGGTTAGTAACTGTTCGGTAGAGCAACGGTCTCGCTTCCTCAACGACCCTGTCAGTAACTGTTCGGTAGAGCAACGGTCTCGCTTCCTCAACGACCCGGTTAGTAACTGTTCGGTAGAGCAACGGTCTCGCATCCTCAACGACCCGGTTAGTAACTGTTCGGTAGAGCAACGGTCTCGCTTCATGCAGGTCGGCATTCAATTCCCGACCGTCCAAATGGTTGGCCACCATTCCTTTCCCCCGACCCATCCCAAATCCTGTTCCCTTCCAAATGTTATATAACTGTAATGGCTTGGCGTTTTCCCCTGATAGTTCAATTCAATTCTTATATTAATATGATGGTAATAAATTATACTCTTAACTAGTTGCTCAAGCTTAAAGTTCGGTGTTATTAATTATATATGTGTTTATACATATACATACATATATATATATATATATATATATATATATATATATATATATATATATATATATATATATTATATATATATATGTCGTACCTAGTAGCCAGAACGCACTTCTCGGCCTACTATGCAGGGGCCGATTTGTTTAATAAGCCAAGTTTTCCTGAATTAATATATTTTCTCTAATTTTTTCTTATGAAATGATAAAGCTACCTATTTCATTATGTATGAGGTCAATTTTTTTTTATTGGAGTTAAAATTAACGTAGATATATGACCGAACCTAACCAACCCTACCTAACCTAACCTAACCTATCTTTATAGGTTAGGTAGCCGAAAAAGTTAGGTTAGGAAGTCGAAAAACAATTAATTCATGAAAACTAAGCTTATTAGGCAAATTGGGCCTTGCATAGTAGGCTGAGAAGTGCGTTCTGGCTACTAGGTACGACATATTATATATATATATATATATATATATATATATATATATATATATATATATATATATATATATATATATATATACATATATATACATACATACATACATATATACAGGAGTTCTTACATTCTTGAACAGCCACTAACACGCATAGCATTTCGGGCAAGTTCTTAATACAATTTTTTTCCCGGAATACGACCCGCCAAATCGTTCAACAACCAGGTACCCATTCACTGCTGGGTGAACAGAGGCTACAGTTAAGGATTGACGCCCAGTAAATCCTCCCCGGCCAGGATACGAACCCCGGCCAAAGGGCTCTCGAAACGCAAGGAGAAGGTGTTACCACTTCGCGACTGGGACTGCTCATGAAGACATTTTGTATTACGATGTGCGCTCATTTTGGTACTAGTCTTTAATCCAATTTTGTACTCAAGAAAAAAAGATGGGATTTTTTTTTTTTTTTGTTATCTGTGACAGTGAGGCTTTGAGCTCCATCCCACACTGCTAGCCCCTGATAGCATATTTCATAGTTTGTGTGCGGTCACTACACGTATCTGTTTCTCTCTCTCCACACTCTTTTCTTTTTCTTTTAGCAATTTAGATTCTTTGGAATATCCTTCTTAGTACTTAATATTGTTTTCTTAGATTTTTTAATGAACCGTTCAGTAGTCAGAGGATAATGTGAATGTCGGCGTAGAGTAGTGAGACCTTCCTTCCAGACCTTCCCTCCAGACCTTCAGACCTTCCCTCCACGCCTCCCCCTCCAGGGTCCCCCTCCAGGCTCTCCCTCCAGGGTCTCCCTCCAGGGCCTCCCTCCAGGGTCTCCCTCCAGGGCCTCCCTCCAGGGTCTCCCTCCGAGCCCTACCTACCTACCGGTCCTCCCTCCGATCCTTCTCTTTTGTTGACCATTACCATATATATGAACTCCTTTATCCTAGTCACTGCTTTGGAAGGAAAACGATGGAGACATCTATCTGATGGTTTGGCCTGGAGACGAGGTGGTGTGACGGAGACCTGGTGGTGGTGTGATGGAGACCTGGTGGTGGTGTGGCGGAGACCGGGTGGGGGTGTGGCGATTTGATGGTGACTGTGATTCATCACCAGGCTGTGATTCATCGCCAGGCTGTGATTCATACGTCAGTAACATAAATATAAGACCTAACCTAACCTTTCTTAGCAATCCTAGGCCTAACAGACGCTATCTTAGGCCTAATATAGTACATTTATGTGCTATATTAGGCTTCGGAATATTTAAGTTTTGCTTTTAGCTTTATTTTTTCAAACTTGATATAGTACAGAAAGTGATGTACTGGCGGTCCATCACTACACATTGGAAGTACTTTCATTTCAGGAGGATGGGTTGCAAATCTCTCATACACGTATCAGTCCTCTAGTGTTGAGAGATCAGACCTATAACGTCGAATGTTGACTATAGTTGCTGGGTCAGTTTAAATTCATTCATATCTCTTTCATCAGCCATCTGGATAAAAAGAATAGCACTGAATTGGGACCATTTTCTCACCACATAACCTGTAACATGGTCAGGTCGTCGCCTCTGTAACAAAGGTCAGGTCGTCGCCTCTGTAACAAAGGTCAGGTCGTCGCCTCTGTAACAAAGGTCAGGTCGTCGCCTCTGTAACAAGGTCAGGTCGTCGGCCTCACTGTAAACACCCCACTTACGATTTTTCAAAAGCCTTCACACATACACACGGCAAAAATTGCGCTCATTACTCTGCTTGTCAGCAGCTTGAGAGTAATGATTGCACGAGAATCGTAATTTCCAGCGGGATAAAAAAAAATATTTTAACTTGTGGAATGACTTTAATTCTAACTTCAGCAACGCTGTTACCTACAAAGCTGTTGATGTGACGTCGATGCTGTCACTTTGTTGCCCTGAAACCAACCCACACACCTTTCCTATGGGTTACTTTACACCTCAAGGAAGCACCTTGAGGTGCTTCCAGGGCTCAGCGTCCCCGCGGCCCGGTCGTCGACCAGGCCTCCTGGTTGCTGGACCAGACTATTGGACTCGGCTGCTCGCAGCCTGACGTATGAGTCACAGCCTGGTTGATCAGGTATCCTTTGGAGGTGCTTATCCAGTTTTCTCTTGTAGGTAACCTGACACACACTTAAATGTGGTCATAGTGTAATAACACATTAAAATCAGGTGAATATAGAGGCAATTCTTACAATCTTTTGGGTGAGGTTTTCTCGTTTTACGTTCACCTTCTGCCCTTTCACCTCTATGTGGCCTCTAGTAGGGGTTGTTGTTGCATCTCTCAATCTACGGGGCAGAAGATTGTTTATGAGTTCCACAGCCCAATCTTGGGTCTGTGATCACAACAGACCAATCTTGGGTCTGTGATCACAACAGACCAAGGATCACAACCAAACTGACCAAGTGAGATAAGAAGACATATTTCCATCATTAGGTGGATTATATGCGAATTATTATTATTATTATAAGCTAATGGGAACATGGTTCTAAAGAGGTAATTTCCTAGTGATAATCCTCCTCTAAAGGGTAACCTGGTTGCTTTTGCTAGCCCTATTCTCTCTGGGCTAATCCTTTTACCTGCTTGATGGGGTTCTGGGAGTTCTTCTACTCCAAGCCCGGCCCGAGGCCAGCCTTGACTTGTGAGAGTTTGGTCCACCAGGCTGTTGCTCGGAGCGACCCGCAGGCCCACATACCCACCACAGCCCGGTTGGTCCGGCACGTTTTTTTAGAAAACAGTCCAGTTTTCTCTTGAAGATGTCCACGGTTGTTCCGGCAATATTTCTTATAGTCGCTGGGAGGACGTTGAACAACCGCGGACCTCTGATGTTTATACAGTGTTCTTTGATTGTGCCTATGGTACCTCTGTAGATTTGGGACCTGGTCCTCCAGTATTTTCCATGTGTATATTATTTGGTATCTCGTCTCCTTTCTAGTGAGTACATTTGGAGAGCTTTGAGACGATCCCAATAATTTAGGTACTTTATTGCGTCTATATATGCCGTATATGTTCTTCGTATTCCTTCTATTTCAGCAATCTGAATCATGTTGAGCAACAAGATCATGTTGCTCTTGGCGCCAACATGATCCTGGTGTCTCTACAATGTCCTCAAATGCTTTACACTTGATGCCTCTAGAAACTTCCGTAGTGATCTTATTCCCACCACAAAAATTATCTGGGTGTGCGGCTGCTCCTCTTTTATCTCAATAACTGTGAGGTCGGCTGCGGGTAAGCAAATATGGCCGGATATTTGCATGTTAATGCCACACTGCATTCTCTTGCACCCGGTGCTTGGCCGAGCTCTTGGTGAGACGGTGGTCACTGATTCCTGGGCCCCGCCTCTCTCCCTCGTGTTGACTTCTCCACGTTTTGGAGCGGTTGCTTCTAGATGTCACTGATATATCTGTGACATGAAGGCTCTCGAACACTTTGAGCTTGTGAGAGGCTTTTGTCATTTGCAAGTTTTGCTGTCTAATGGGATATATATACACGACTATTTTGCCAGCAGCTATCCTGACAAAAACATATTCTGAAGTTACAATGCAAGTTGTATGTTTTGCACAGAAATAGTTACCTAATGACTGGCGATGACCTAAATGATATTCACCAGTTTCCTTATACTCGTACATTACTCTTTGCTGGTTCCTTTAGTTACAAGGCTAGTGGGTTACATACGCTGGGAGCACAAATGTCTTGAGCGGAGTACAAGGGTTGGTACTAGAGCTATCCAGGTTTTAGTAATGTGGATGACTTGAGAGGGAATGAAATTATGATGATGCAATGAACAAATCCACAAGGGCCTTGATGAGGGGTTCGAACCTATGCGCTGGATGTTCCCAGATGTGTTCTAGTCAACTGTAAAACTAACAAAAATAATGAGAACAAAGAGGCGACTGAGATACCATGCAAAGCGGACATGGCACACTCCGTATGTGGTCTAAAAAAAATTAGTACAGATCTTTAAAACGGACAAATGCAAAGTTATGAGGGTAGGAATAGGAGAAAACTCATACAACAATACAAAATGAAGGCGAGATAGATGTATGTTTGCATCAGAAAATGAGAAATCTGCGAGTAGATCTCTCCAGAGGCACATGTTAACAGACTAACGCCAACTGGACTCTATATACACACTTTGCGAGACCCACTTTTCATAATGTAGCCCCAGCATGGAATCCGCATTTGAAAAAGCATAAAACCAAACTAGAAAAGGTCGAAATCCAGCAGACACACGAATGAAAGTTAGGCAGTTGCTACATGCTGCATCCTGGGAATGTGTTTTTTACAAAAACATGTGTACAGTGGTACCTCGGTTTACGAATGCTCCTCTTTACGAACTTTTCGGGTTATGTGCCGGATTTCTTCGGAAAATTTGAATTGGGTTACGAACTTTACCTCGGGACACGAGTCTGTTGATATGCGTATGGCGTGGTGGCACGGCGATCGCACCTCAGTTTCCCAGTGCCTCCCGCCTTGTGACTATCCCGTCTGAATTCTTTACAAGGATTTACAGTTTTTCGGATTTTTGGCTATTTGAACATAAAAGTTGTTATTATATATCTCGCCATGGGTCCCAAGAAAGCCAGTGATAAGTTTCAAGGCAAGAAAACACATGTGAGAATGACCATAGAGGTAAAACAAGAGATCATTTGTAAACATGAAAATGGTACACGTGTTGTTGAACTAGCTAGGCAGTATAACAGATCTTCAGGGGAGGAGGAGGAGGAGGCAGTAGAGGATGTCCCTTCCTCAAAAATTTAGAAAATGTGTGCAGTATGGGAAGAACTGCAAAGTTTTGCTGAAAAGAATCACAGAGATAAAGCTTTAGCAGGCCGTTGCATTGATTTTATTACTGACAATGTGATGTCTCACTACAGACAAATGTTACAAAGAAGGGAAAAACAATCAAGAAAAACAATGAGAAAATCAAGCAGTGAGCCAGTAGCAGGTCCTAGTGGTATGCAGGCAAAATGTGCCAGAGAGTGCACCCCAGAGAAGTCCTCACTGCCTGATGTTATAATGGAAGGGCTCATTCCCCTTCCAAACAGTAACTCTCCCTCCTTACCATTTCCATACGCCAACAGGATTCATCAGTAAAGGTAAGTAATAACTTTTGCATACTTTTTTAGTGAAGATTTGGGTAAATTGGGTATAAAATTTACTTTGAAGTTAATTTTTGGGGGGAGTCAGGAACGGATTAATTCATTTCCCATTATTTCTTGTGGGGAAATTCGCTTCGGTTTACGAATTTTTGGGTTATGAACTGTCTTCAGGAACGGATTAAATTCGAAAACTGAGGTACGGGCGCCTGACAGCTGAGTGGACAGCGCTTCGGATTCGTAGTCCTGAGGTTCCGGTTCGATCCCCAGTGGAGGTGGACACAAATGGGCAAAAAGTTTCTTTCACCATGAAGCCCCTGTTACCTAGCAGTAAATAGGTACCTAGGAGTTAGACAGCTGCTACGGGCTGCTTCCTGGGGGTGTGTAACAAAAAGGAGGCCTGGTCGAGGACCGGGCCGCGGGACGCTAAGCCCCTAACGGGGTCTAAAAGCTAGCAGCTCTATTCTGCAAGCACAAATGATAAACATACATGCGTGTCTGTGTGCGCCACACAAGTGTAATGTGTATTTACAATTTGTGTCTACAGACACAAATTGTAAATACACATACACATGTTTGTGTGGCACATACAAATAATCACTCCATTTCCTTGCATATGGTAATTGTTTTTGAAATGCTATAATTAATCCATCCATTAATCCATAAATCCTGTATAGTATTGATATTAATTTATATACAGTCCCCAAAATGTTTCTCAAGGATTTTTCTTCGGCATATTGCAATGAAACCCTTGAGGAATATAAAGTTACACTATTATGTAAATAATTCGAAAGTATTCCTGTAATTCTCTATTAACTTTAAGCAGTTCCTCAGTGAATTCCAAGTAAGTTGACATCTCTCTCCTAAACAAATTAAGTTAATGCAGAGTATACTAATTGTTAAATTTACCTAAATAATTTCCAGGCAAATCCTAAACATTGCAGTTTATCTCAAATGTCTCTGAATTATTACCAAAACTAATGCTAAATAATTACAAGCACTTTACTCCGTTATTAATCTCAGGTTATTTGAGACAAAACACTAATTAAATTAGCATAAATCTTTCAACAAGACATTTAATAAAACAGTATAAGTAATCCCATGGAATCCAACAAAAGGAGGTCCACAAAACATAGAACTCTGCAACTGCATAACAAATATCTCTTCTCTCATAAACAAATCTGCCAATAGATTTTGCAGCCCCACTCTACAGTACATCACCGAAAATCTTATCTACACAAATCCTACCCTTCTCTGCCACTGCAAACTTAAAATGCAAAAAACATCAGTATCGTATACTTTACAGGGTCTCAAAAAGAAGTCTGCCCTCCTTCCCGAGCCGCCAGCCAACAAGGTGTTCTCACAACTCCAGAACCTAACCAAGCACAACCCAGCATGTGAGTACAATACCACCATTTTTTCGTTGGAGTACCTGCACTCGATGGTGGTGATTGTATCCAAAGGGGGTAGTGTGGTAATGTGTTTACTAACATTTAAAATGTGATAGAATCTATAGTAAAGCTTAATGGTATTGAAACCCAGAATACATTTCTTTGACCAACTCGGCAGTCTATCTAGATGATCTTGGAGTGGGTCTAAAGTGTTTCTCTTTCTTGACTTTTTTATTAATACAGTATTGCATAATTCACAAACACTGACATGTTGAAGTCTACACCTGTGGTTGGGTCAATAACATTCAATGAAGTCCTAGGACTGATCCTTAAGAAAGATAATTTGTTACGTTTCCAATCTGAGAGAGAGTGAGAATATGTGACGGTACTTATTGTCAGTATACATAATTAAACAGTTTATTTAATTCAATATTTATTAAAACCATGAATGTCTGATATACATTAGTGCAGGAGTGAACATAATTATGTCCCTTGTCACAACAGTCGCGACCAGCCTGCAGAACATCATCTTGACACAGATCCAGAGTCTGGGCGGTGGGAGAGGTGAAGGGCCAACCCCTCCACCTCCAGGACCTCCCAGGTGCCAGAGACCACCGCCTCCAGTCCGCCCTCAGACTCATGTACCCACGCACCCACCACCTCCACCTGCATCTCCCACATCAAACAATGGCCTCAATAGCAATGCCCAGGCCGCTCTTGTTATTCTCCTGGCGGCACAGATGCAGATGCAGCAGCAGCAACAGCAACAGCAGCAGATACAACAACAACAGGCACAGTGTGTTTCAAATAATAATCTACTTGCCAGCCCACAAGTGCTGAACCTGCTACAACAACTGGTGCAGCAGGGAGATCCACAAACACCACCCCATGGTACAGACCCCAGGAATGGCTACTCAAAGAACAACAATAATGCCAACAGCAATTCCACCACCCCTACCAAGAACAACTATAGGAATGGCTATAGTAAGAACGGTGTTAGTAAACCTACAAAGGTAAGTTGCAAAACTGACTTTACACACTGTTTTGTACCTGCATTATTCCAAATATGTTCAATATAATGTTACCTAAAAAGAATTACTATCTTCAGTTAAATCTGAGGACAGTGTGTGATTAGCCAACCCGTCCTCTTTAAAAATAACGTCACTTTTCGCTCGTATGCGCGCTATGGCCAAATTTGGACGTAATTTTAAATGAAATCGACTCACAAAAGTGACGTACTGTTCCGTTTTCTGTTTGAGTCGTCTGGCTTACTCGGTAAGGTTAGAAAAGGTAACTTTCCATTAACGTTTTTCATAACGTTTTGAAACTTTGAGAATTTCCAGCCCACCTAACCTATCAGAGGACCCTTAACTTACTGTTGTTGAAAAAAAAAATCCCAAATTTATTTTCATTGTTTTTTCATTTTCAAATTACGTCCACTTTCGGCCATACGGGCAAACGGCCAAAAGCGACTTTATTTTTAAGAAGACAGGTTGGATTAGCAACTACATATAAGTAAAGTACTGTATTATAATCTTTTAACACATTTTGATATTGCTCGTATCGTTCACTAATAAAACATTGATTACAGACACCGTTACTTCCGACACCGGCATCGGGAAACTATAGTGGAGGTTCATGGGATGAAGGAGGTGCGAGCTCAGGTGGTGGGGAGTGTGAGGGGGGATTGGCCCCCCTACTTTCTGGTCTTTTGACTAGTCTGCCTGGTCTTAACAACATCAAATCCAACAAGGACGATTTGCAGGGAACCATCTCCACACTGTTGTCAAATGCCCACAGTCTGCAACAGCTTCTGGGGACCCTCACTCCAATGGAACAGCAGCAGCAACAGCAGCAGCAACAACAGCAGCAAGCACCCCCTCCCCCTCCCATTTCTGTTGGACAACTACCTATGGTTACTGCAGCTTCCATGCTTCCTCACACCCACATTACCACCACCGCTCCACCACCTATGTATCCCACAAATCCCCTGATGTCCATGTTGCTGACAGCTGCTGGCCAGGGCCCCAAAGCTGCTCTCCTGGGTGAAGGACCCCTCCGCCATGACCATGCCCCTACATTCCTTCCTCCACATCTGGCACCCCCATCTATTGAACAGCCTCCTCACCTTGGACCCCCCTCCTTGGAGCAGCCTCCACCTCCCCCACCAATATCTTCTGCCCCAGCTTTCCTGTTTGCCTCACCTGTTTCGTCCCGTGTGACCACCACCTGGTCTCCCCCACCCATGGCTCCTCCACCCACCCTCATCCAACCACCTATCCTTCACCCAGCTGCCCTTTCCCACCATCCCCGTCTCATCAATCCCTTATATTTAACTCCAGCCAAAAGCATGGGGCCACCCCAGCACAACTTCGGTCCCCCTGGTTACAGCACACCCATCGGTCAGAAGCGCAAGTCCAACCACATTCTGCCATCTCCAGAGCCCAGCCCAGAGAATGGCTATGTGGGGCAGCACTCCCAGGGCATCGGTGGCCACTATGCAGACTCTTACCTCACCAAGAAAATGAAGAAGCACTGAGAACATTGTCCACACCTCGCACACTGTGCAAACATACACACACACATATTCACACTAACACTGACTCAACGACATGGTATTACATAGCTCTTAGAGGGTATCTTCCAGTTGAAATATACAGACGTGTTGCATTATTCTGTGCTTTAGATTGAAGAGTGTAAGGCGTCCTTGGTGGGTGCAACAGACGAAAAGCTGTCGCTCTGACATCCACAGAATACGCCCACAGTTTTGATACATGTTGGGACCAGCTTAATGAAGACAAGGGTTAGGGACAACAGTGACGGGCTTTTTAGAGGCATTCTAGTTAGTTGTTTTTTGAAAACTCGCAAAGTATATTGGGAACTTATAAATACTGTTTAGTTTCATGATTATATTTAAGAGCATTATAAACAGGTGTATAGCAGGATAAGCAGCTGAGATTATCGGCATTATAGTTGGATACCAGTTGTACAGTTCACTGTATAACAAATTATAAATTTGAGTGTTAAGTATATATACAACTCTATAAAAGTCAACACAGAGAGTTAAGTATATAAATCTACATATACGATTATGTTTAAAAACTATATATATATATATATATATATATATATATATATATATATATATATATATATATATATATATATATATATATATATATATATATTATATATATACACACATACACAGTTCAGTATATAATCAAGGTATGATGTGCAGTTCAAGATAAATTCAAAGAATTTAAAAAGTTCTGCATATCCTCTACAGTACAGTACAGTACAGTACTGTATATCAAAACCTTCATTCAGCTCCGGTGTAGACAGTTCAACTTACACAAAACAAAGTGCCTTTCAGAGCAAGGTTAGTCAATAATTTAGCTGCTTTTTAATTTATTCAGACAATTTGTGAATATCGAATTTCTGATGAGAGGTTTTCTATGAAATCTTATTTTCATACTAGTGTACTAAAGGTGACTGAACGGGAGCACTTGTATACACTGAAGTCTGTTGGTTGCCGGCCAGGAGCTTGTTTGACAAACATTAAAGTGTTTTGTAAGCTTTATAGCTATCGACTGTTAATTTTTAATTGTGGGAAGCTCTTATATTATCCCTCAGTTCGGCGTTTGTTCAGAAGTATACAAGGTACCGTTACCATATTATGCATACACCCACTATTTACAATGTACTGCTATGCCATACAGTTGAGGGCATTAGGTCACAGGTGTGTGTGTGTGTGTGTGTGTTTGTGTGTGTGTGTGTGTGTGTGAGATTACTCATAAGCATTGAGGCATTACTTATATGGTTTCAGTCACTTGAGTGGAAGTAACTTATATAAAATGCACTTATGTCAATCAGTTGGTGCATGGCAAGATGAGTGTACCAATCATACTCAATGGGGAATGACCACCTATTCAAGTTACAACTTTCTCAAGTGGCGTAACTATGGCTTTTGAGGTTATTCTGTGTTAATTTCTTGTTGATTATTTTCCTGTTTAGTTCTTTTATCTAACTAGGTCTCTTGTATCTTGGTTTAATTGGAAGAAGATTTCTTAGAATTTTATATTTAAGGTTGAATTAAAGGACAAAAACTTACTGTATAATGTATTACACATTATATTTTACACAATGTTTCGAACCTACAAGGTTCATTCTTCACATGAGAATGAATCTTGTAGATCTGAAACGTTGAGAAAACGATGATATAGTAAGTATAATACATTATAGAGAAAGTTTTTGCTATTTTAGTCAACCTTGAACAAATATAACATTCTGAGAAATCTTCTTCCAATTAAACCAAGATACAAGAATACTAGAGGAATGGAATCATAAACAAGAAAATAATCAACACGGAATATGCAGTCATATTCGATGAAACATGTTAAAGTGAAAACCTGCTCCCAACATATATATATATACATTTATATATATATATATATATATATATATATATATATATATATATATATATATATATATATATATATATATATATATATATATAAAATAGCCAGAAGTGCATTACTTAGCCTAGTATGCAAAGCTCGATTTGCCTAACAAGCAAGAGTGATTTTCGTTATTTTCAAACATTTATTTCCAAATTAGTTTTTTTCCTAACAATATTATTATAGTTGGTACATGAATCACTAACTTAATTTAGGTTACATCTGGTAAAATATCAATATTATTAGATTTGACTAAAAAAAAAATATATATATATATTGTAATGGAAAGCTTTGTCATTCAAAATGAAAACAATAAATGAAAAGCTTAATTTTTCAAGAAAATTGGACTTATTGGGCAACTTGGCATATTGGTTATTATATTATATTTTATATATATATATATATATATATATATATATATATATATATATATATATATATATATATATATATATAATGATGTACCTAGTAGCCAGAATGCAGTTCTTGGCCTACTATGCAAGGGCCGATTTGCCTAATAAACCAAGTTTTCCTGAATTTATATGTTTTTCGACATTTTTTCCTATGAAATGATAAAGCTATCAATTTCATTATATATGAGTTAAGTTCTTTTAATTTGAGTTAAAACTAATGTAGATATATGACCGAACCTAACCTAACCTATCTTAATTATATTAGTTTAGGTTAAAGTCAATAATTTATGTTCTTAACATAATATAATAATAAATTTCAAATAAACCAATTGGAAACAATATTTTGAAAATAAAAATCACTCGGCCTATTAGGCAAATCAGGCCTTGCATGGTAGGCCGAGAAGTGCGTTCTGGCTACTAGGTACGACATATTATATATATACATTATATAATATATATATATATATATATATATATATATATATATATATATATATATATATATATATATATATATATATATATATATATATATATATACATACATACATACATACATACATACATACATACATACATACACACACACATACACACAATGAATATAATATGTTTTTCATGTTTCGTGGTTACTCCGTGGCTCTGCAAAAATCATGTGGAAGTATACTTGGGTACAAGGTAATTTAGAATGTGAAGTTGGTACATAAAGTACTGGGATGATGTTATGTACGGAGTAGGAGCCTTGTGATCAGTGTGTTGGAGACACGTAATATCTGATCTCATCAGTCCCGCATGATGTGTAATACTTGCAGGCCCTCGACGTGCGTGGAAGGTGTGCACTCGCTGACCTCTGAGGGCTTTCTGATGTTTGCTTAATTCAACGCAACATTAAGTTTTTTTTAATGTTATTTAAGAAAGAAAGCAGAATTACCGTAGCATTATTAGGATTATAAAAGACGTGGTAGTTAGTGAAGACTATTGAGACAATGACTGTTTGAAATGTCAAAGCTCGTGACTTTTCATGTAAACACAAATTTAGATTTTAGCATTGCATCTTCTCTCTCTGTCCCTAATGTGAATTATTATCAACATATCCATTGGCAGAACTAAAGAGTTTGTAAATAAATATGAGGTGATGAGCAAAAGTGATCCATTAATAGGATATCATTTTCTATTTATAGTTATATTAAGCTAAAAATAATCTGTTTCTGTTACTGGGTCATTTTGGCCAACTCCCTCACAAGGGTTGTGTTAAAACATGTGTCCTCCTTGCATTGAACTTCAGGGAACATGGTGAGTGTTACAGTTCTGTGTTTCTTATCCTCAGCAATTTAGCTGGACATGTTATCTGAGGGTTATATTGTATCTTCTTGCTGGGGATCATGCTTAGATTCTCATTTACAGTATACAGCTGCTACACGACCAGTGATGGTGGGTTTAAAGGCAGAGGGATTTGTTCTGATTCACAAATGCTTTAGTAGGTGAAAATGCCTTAACTTAGTCTCTAGTAGAAGAAATTCTGTGGTAGCTGAGAAAGCCGATACATACCTTCAGAAATCACTGGTCAGTGGCAGGCTATTGTATGGGGTACAGGGCATTAGTAGGAGTAAGCTGTAAAGTTAGATGTATATAAATTCTTATATTTCGTACTATATTATTTTCTAGTTACTATTGGCCTGTTTTTGTCAGAAATGTGTTCAGTGGTGTGAGGCAACTAAGTAATTCAATGATCTGTACTATTGCAATAATTTTTTAGGAATATGTTTATTCTTTTCAACTGGTTATAGTGACGTAGATTAATCATACTAGGTAATGTGTGATAGTGCAGGAACAAAAAAAAAACAAAGAGTGGCTAGAAATCTTTCCTTAATTGCAAAGAAAAATAATATGAAAGCCTTTGTGACAGTGCAATGTTTACCATACAAATATTCTGAGTATTCGTTCCTGCACTGCCTTGTGTTACCTCGGGCCACTGCCGTCAGTGTAGTGGCTTTCTTCACTAAGCTGTCATCTTTCTAACCTACATCTCCCTGGCCAATATTCCCACAGTTATTAAGAGTGAATCAGTTATAGACAATCAGATCTGTTGACAGGATGGGGAACTGTACTGCAGGGACAAAATCCTGCTGACCACAGTGAAATGAACTACAGTCAAATATAAGTGGGTATTAACTATTTGTCAGAATTTTGATGGAAATATTGGCCCCACAGAAATTGCCTTGCTTTCCTCTTTTTATGTTGTTGATAATGTTAACTTTTTTATTTCTTTATGCAGTTGTTCCATTTGCATGTATATTTTTAAGTCAAACCAGGAATGCCTTTGATCCACCTGACCGTGAGCTTTGATAATCTCTCCATATTTCCTCATCAATGATTTTAGTTTAAACATTAGCATATAAACGATCTGTGCCTTAAAGGCTATATGCAACTAACTTGAAATTTACAGAATTAAAAAGAATAAATTGGATTGCAAAACAAATAAGTAATGTAGTGATAATTTATTTACTGTTCTGATTTACCAATGATTTGTTCTGATTTGAGGTGACCTTAAAATTTCTGTTGTCACCTAACGTTATCTATATAACATGGCTCCTTGTCTGTCAACAAACTATTACAATGCCTTGGTAAATACTTGATCAAGTTCCACATTTGAACATTTATGCACTACACTACAGCTGTCCATTTGACTCCTCTAAACAGAGAAAATGTGGTTGTGTCTTTGGTTTTGTGTATTCATTCCCACAAAATGATCTGCACCGGTAAGTGATATCCTGATTCATAATTAACTTACTTAAGATTGAATTAAGAGGAATGTAATAGTTCGTGGAAAAAAAGAGAGGTATGGGCTTTAATCTAACTCTCTCAATCTCAACTCAAAGTTGTGTGTTTTATAAGATAAAACTAATCACCAGCTTTTGACTGAAACATCTGTTATCTATAAAGTTTTACCTAGTCCAGCTTGGGGTAATCGCATGAACTTGCAAAATTGAAAACATTCGCAAAATGGTGCTGATAAACAAGGTTCTTATATCTCAAATAAAAAAATATATCATATTTAGTTGCATATGACCTTTTAAAAACACACAATCAGTCATAACCACAGTCGTTAATAATGCCAATTGACATTAGTAGAAATCTGTTAGTTATTTACGACACATATTAGCAGCGTGTTTATATAAATTCTGAAGATTAGTTCCTGTCAAAAACTGGTGTTTGCGACTACTTTAGACATTAACAGGAT